TCAAGTAAACTTTCTGACCTTGTCTTTCTGGTCAGAAAGTTTGTGATTCAATAAGAAAGAAGAAAAGAAAAGAGACTCATTCATTCTCCTTCAATCCAGCACTAAACCTGTGCTTATACTGCATCTGCAATGAGTAAGTGTTGTTTGGGTGCAGTGCTGGTTAAGTTATATGATGGGCTATTAAGAATTATAATAGTGATACATTTACATGACATTTATTTGTGTGATAAAATGCTTTACAGCCGAAAAAACAGCGTAGAAAAAACAAGATAAAATGCGGTTGGACTGTGTTTTCTTTTTAGATTTCTTCAATTAACTTGTAACCTCTATCTGTGTGTTTTGGTCATGAAAACAAAAAACCTTTCAAATAATAGAGAGATGAATTTGAATGATTTTTATGTCCTTTTAATCAGACTTTTTGGTGGCTTTTTTAATGCCCCTAGATCATAACAACAGCAAAGGGATAATAATGATGTTTTAGTTGGCTTACCCATACCATACCTTTACGTATGTCCAATATTAATGTTATTCTCTGGCAATAGTGTTGTCAAATCATATCAGTACTGAGTGGTTTCTTGTATATTTTCTAAAAACAGTTGCCAATATCTGCACACGCTTTTGAACAATGATCCTACACAATGATTAAAAAGAGTTTAAAATAAATGTAGCATGAGTGTCCCTTCTACTGTACGTGATGCAGACATGTGAATCACACCAGTATACTTGCAGTGCACTGCAAGTTGGCTGTAGCATGGTTACGTGGACCTCACTGAGCAGAGGGCTGTGCGAGGAGGCAGATGTTACCATGTTGCCTTATTTGGTCTACTGTTGAAACTCAAGTTTGTTATACTGTTCACCCTAAAGTTGAAACATTTTAATATTTGGGAAGAAACTGTGTTTTTTCAAGCATCTGTCAGTATAAAGCTATTTTGTGAAATATATATTCACTGTTATATTTAATATCTGTCAGTGTAAAGCATTGTTTATCTTTGCCTATTTTGTGAAATATATATTCACTGTTATATTTAATAACAGTGAAAGCCAGTCTGCTTGTTGGCTGAGATGGTGTTCTTAATGGGCTTTTTTATTGCATGTTCTCTAATCTGCATACTTAGACTGACAGCAATGGCGTGAGACGCGAATGCATCCTCGTATTATATTTCATATAATATTCGGTAAGAAACTTAATTTTTTCAAGCATCTGAAGCATTGTTTCTCTTTGCCTATTTTGTGAAATACAATTTTATATTTCAACATCTCGCGTTTGTGTTATGTTTCCACCCTTGAAGCTCACTAGACTGTAGACTGTTGAAATTCTGTTACTGTTACTGTTCACTCTAAATGTTTTAAATATGTAAACACTCAAAAGTTATTCTTTGAATGAACTTGATTAAATCATGGACAGTATTCCACATGATGAAATGGCTTTCTTTCAGCTTTAAGCAATTACGTTGACCCAACCCAGGTAAATTAAGTTGGTAACACACCTTATAAATAAGTAGTATCAATCCTAATAGATTGCGTTGACCCAACCCAAGTAAATTAAGTTGGACCAATCAAATTGCTTAATCTTGAAAGAAAGTGATTTAATCATGTGGAAATATTGTCCATGATTTAATTACGTTCATTCAAAGAGTTATTTTTTTGAGTGTGGTGAGCTGGAGTAAAAAGGACATAAAGAAGAGTTATGCCTCTATCTCTTGCATGGTGTGTCTGTCTCTGGGGTAGCAGCTCCGTGAGAGAGACCTTTTAGTGCTGACACATGCCTGAGTGCCTTTAAGGTTGAGGGGAGAGGATATTATGTTCCTGAAGTATGACTGCAAGTACAAACACTCCTGAGCAAATTATGGCAGAGATAATGACTGCTGTGGCTGCTCACTCCCGACATGCCAGTCTCAGTTTGTTCAGCCGTGGGTGTAGCTGTGGGTGAAATGCGCTTGATGTTCCTCTTGTAATGCCATGCACGGGATGTCGTCTATATGAGCCCCTGGAGGGTCGATTCATATTTGCACCATTTAGGCGTGATTGATTTGCCACTCAGGGTACGCCTACAGCGGCCTGAGTTTGTCTCTGCATTGCGAAGAGAGCTGTTGGTTTTATGAATAGAGCTGATATGCGTCTGTCAATAATTTGAATCAGAAAATATCCACTGCCAGGGCCCTGAGTGTGTGTGTGTGTGAGCACCTTGTGAGTGTCTATCTATGTGTGTATTAATGGTTGCACGTCTAAAAAAGTATGAAATGCTGATTAGTTGTTCTTGTTAGAAATGTGTTAATAAATGGTAAATAGGTGTTTGGTTAAGCTTTAAGATGTGTGTGTTGATCGGGAAAGCAAATTTCAAGATGGAGGAAAACACTTTCAGACAGCTGCGCTGTATCCACTATGGTACTCTACATCACAGTGATATAGCAACAAGCCATCTTTTCAGAATATTGAGATTATTCAGGATGTTTGCTGCTTTACTGCATCTTGGGGAAATGCACTGATGTGAGCTGAGTGATTGTGTTGATAAAGCTGCTATCACAAGGAAAATTCCTTTTATGACTTTTTCAGGTTCTGTTGATTTTGACTGTTGTTGATATTGCAAACAATAAAGACCACTGAAAAGTTATGGCAATTCTACTTTAAAGCCCTCGGTGAAAGCTACAGAACAACTGTCTGAGTGCTCTCAAACGCATTTTGGTTGAATTTGTTGAAAAAGATGAGTCAGCAGAAATGTGTTGTTTTTAAAGAAGGATCCTGTTGTTACTGGGGATTTATATAAAAATCCAACTGTCTAGACATGCATGTCTTTCTTTGGCACAAGATCTTTGGGAGATTTGAGAAGTTATATGATAATAATAAGAGTAAAGCAACAGGTTATCTTTTTCTACAGAACAGAATTTCTGTATTTTGCAAATATGTTTTGTGTAAACCTCATGCGATCATGGACAGAATGTATGTTATATCTGACCCTGTAACAGTTTCTGTTTCTGTATGAGGATTTGAACATGTTTGGCAACACATGTTTATCATCTTGTAAACAATTAATCCCATTATTCCACTTCCATTACACTGTGCTTTAATAATAAAGACTGCATTTGAACCTCATACACAATACAGCCAATTGTTAAATTATACAAATGTTTAAACCCTTTACTTTTTGAGCCCTGTTAAAGTGTCAAACCAGACTGTAAACATCTACATGTCATTACCTTTGCTTATTATGCCTGTTTTTAAATGCCTTTTTAATAAAGTATTTATGCTGTTTTTGTTCTTAAATGTCTTTTGATTTTAATCTGTAAAGCACTTTGAATCGCCACGTGCTGAAAAGTGCTATATAAATTGCCTTGCCTTGCCTTGCCTTACATGTCTTCACCCCCACCCTTTTAATTCACTCCTTTCAACTAAATCCATGTTCATATTTGTAATATTTTCCAATAAAGTAAAAAATGCCTTAAAAGACAAGGAAGAGCCTGTGTAACCGGGGTGGTTCATATCAATAATTCATGACCATTAATCAAATTTAAGAGACAGTTTTCCAACTACAAATTGTTGCAGCATTGTGCGAGGCCATTCCTCATTTCATCGGACAAAACCTCTTGATGCAGATTGTGCTGTTTACATATAATATCTATTATTTTTCCCTATTATTCTGTCTTTCTTTCTTTCTTATCCTCTTTACTTTTTCTGTCTAATCCTAAATCATTTGAAGGACTCACGTATGGCAAATGCATGACACTTCCTTTCTATTGTCTTCCTCCCCGTTATTCTCTCTCTTTTTTTCACTTTCTTGATAAATGTTACATCGAGCATGAATATTTTATTGACACATGCAATTTTGATGGGGACGCCACCATCTTTTCGGGATACAGTATGTAGGCCTAATTGTGCCATGTGCACTTCTCTCTCCTTTAACACAAATGGGTAAAGAGCAGGACAGACACAGAGAGAGAGAGAGAGAGAGAGAGAGAGAGAATATCTTTAAAGATTTGAACCTAAATATAAGCATGTAAGCCGCTGTAAACTTGCTCATCTGTGAAAGTGTTTCAGACACACCTGCCGGTCCTCTGTCTAATTCCTCTGTGAACATCATCGCTGCCTTGTTGATTAGTGATGCTTTATAGAGTTTGTCATACAGCCGACAGTGATTTCATAAAGAAGCTTTACAGGGTCTGAGCGGAAAACAATCTTTGAAAAACAAATAAAATATGCATATGATACTTTGACAACATTTGACAACCACATCATGTCACCACTCTGTGATTCTTTCCTCCATTTTTGTCTTTTGTTTAACACATAGCCAATGTGAACATTGTGAAATGTGAACAATAATTATCAAAATTGTATTGCATACAAAACAGTTTGTAAAGACTTACATCTTAGTAGTGACAAATAAGTGTAGTAGTGACACACTTGCATTCAAAACCATGTTAACTGCTAAATGTGACAGAAAAACAATATGTGTTCCTTTCCATCAGTATCTAACATAGTATTTTATTCAGCAGCTAGTGCATTATGAGTGACTTCATTTAATTATTTTAACAAACTGATTTGCATTTACAAATATTTATTTTCCTTTCATTTTTCTTTGTCTTATTACATAGTGCATGCACAGACACATACATCATTCATCCCCTCAACTGCAACCTCGCAAATCAACTCAATGTCATGCATCATTTTACCCCAACCAAAGTATATTCTCAAATCCACATTTCAGACAAATCCGGAAATCATTTAGGTAACAAACCCTGAAATTGAGAAAAAGAAAAAAGTCTGCATCTGCAAACAATTTTCTCTGCTATTCTGTGGTCCTTTACACACACATAGTTACACACACAACCGCGCATGCACACACGCACGCGCGAACGCACGCACACACACACACACACACACACACACACACACACACACACACACACACACACACACACACACACACACACACACACACACACACACACACACACAGGTGTCAGCTTTCTTGTGTGATGAATCCGCAGATGCAGCCTCTTTGGCGCGCAGCAGCTGACGTCAGGAGCGGAGCGGAGTGAGGGGAGTTGAAATAGGGCAGAGCAGGAGAGCAGCGCTTAGAGGAAAAGCAGCCGGAGGAGCTGAAGGATGGCGAGCCGTTGCTGACAGTTGGGACACGCTACCCGTCGCTTCAAACAAAGCTGCTTCTGATACACCAGCCCGTAATTAATCTGAAGCCTTTAAACCCTGCCGAGAAAGGAGTGGAACTAAAAGTGCGCAGTTGTCTCTATAGTCGCTGCGAGGAAGATCTCTGGCATATTTGCACGAATTTCCTTTCCTTTCTGCCCTCTTGCTTTGGAATACCACAGGTAAGGTGCAAGCTGTATTGCCTTATGCGGGATAGGGGCTCCACGGTCCTTTAAATACGTTTTCATGTATTTGACAAGTTTGGTTGTTCCGTGTGGGCAACGCTGTATCCGTCACTATTTGCATTGGGACTGTGAGTGAATGGAAACTGTAAAGAGGGTGGCAGTTGTGTGCTTTAATGTTGAATTAGTTTGTGAGTAGCTGAAGAGAAATGCATCAATAATAGAGAGCGAGCCCCACAATTTACAGGCAGAAAGATATGTGTGAGGTGCAGCCTCATAGCGCAGGGCGATGTCAATGACAGTCTGTGACAGTGTTTAACTACACTGCCTATTGTGTGGCGCAACACGGGATGTGATTAATCATTCAATATGACCAGATGCCAGCTTTTAGTAGCCTCATAAAGCCGTGCAGGGGCTATGCCTGCTCGGAAACAACAGGATAGTGTTTGATGAATAGCTTCAGTAGGAGTCCTCTGCCCGGATGTGCCAGGGTTGCTCAAGCAACAGAGGAGCTGAGATGATAACATAGTGAGACACGTACATCCCTCGCCGGGCTCTCGGGCATGAAATCCAGGTCCCAACAACCCCCCTCCTCACCCGGTCCTCCTGCCTCTTTTGGCTGGCAAGACTTCATCTTTTAACGATCAGTGTGTTATAAAGCATACACCCCCTCATCTACTCAACAGAAACTCTCAGGAATGTAAAGAAATTCCTAAACAAGACGAGATTGTCTTGTCTGATTGTGTTAAATGAGCTGGTTCAGCGCTCTCTCATGGGAACATCCTATCAGTGTCACCAGAGAGCTTGCACAGCAGCAGCAAAGCCTCCGTGACGGCCAGCGGAGTGGGAAATGAGGATTGGTCACCGCGCACGCTGCCGTGATACAGCGCACATTGCGCCGGGGCTCTCCATGGTGCTGAAAACGCTCCAGCCTCTTGCTGCCATACTCCACTCCTCACCTTCCCCGCCAGCCCAGCCTATCGTTCCTTGGTTTGTTGAATTACCTCTCCACCTGGAACCAGATATGTGGCTAACATCCAGCAACACAATTAGGGCCATTCAACAGTGTGCTATCTGCGAACAACTGCTTGTAATTCCTAGCTTTCAGCTTTTGTGAGAGCCAGCAACCCCTTTAACTCTCAACTCAGGCACACACAAACACACATAGCAGACACACATCCGAGCACAGGGAGAGCTCTGGATCAATGTATTGCCCTTGCTCCTGAATGAGATTATTAATGGCAGCTGTTCTCAGTCGGACCTGCAGTTTGCACCAACATAAAACCTCAAGGGGTTTACCTGGTCATTCATTGCAGGGGGAAACAAACCGGCAAGCCATCAAAGGTGACAAATGATCACCGGAGGAAAAAGTGTCAGTCTGTGTTCATCGAGTAAATCAACAGTTTGATTTATTGTGTTTTTCAGAGCTAAGAATCCACTGCTAATCACCACTGAGGTTACTCAACTTCAATTAAAGGATGATTAAACAATGGATAAGAGCCTTACATTAGAACATAACCCAATATTTGAACTACATTAAGTACATTTTCCAGCTTTGCGACTTCTGCAGGTTTTTTCTTTTAGTCACATCATGTCCCGAACCCTGTCCCATCAATTCTGCAGCCCACCCTGGGGTCACAGTCAGCGGGTTGATAAAATAATGATGTGGCCCAGAAAAGTGACTCAGTCGGGCTTATTACAGTCCGCAATCTGGTGTGTAACTTATTAGCTGTCTCACAGAGAACCATTACAACGCGGTGTCCAGCAGATTATGGCTGCGTGTTGTGCTTCAGAGACAGCCTAATAGTGGGATGACTCACACACTTAAAGATTGATGCTGAAGACACACAAGAGCCACATTGGAGTATGCACACACACACACACACACACACACAGATAAATGCACACAAGAAAACCTACACTGTAACCTTTTTTACTTCCCCTCGCTTAGCATTTAAAGGGCTAGAAACGACTTGCAGCATACGTGAATTAATAATAATAATAATAATTCATTATTTTATGTAGGCGCCTTTCAAGGCTCTCAATGTCACCGTACAAACATTGATTGCATGTGTGCACTGTGTCCTGCATGTTAGTTGGATAAAGCTACATATTTCAAGAACAGCAGTAAAGGTCTGATCTTCCGAGGGTCTACACGCTTCCACAGATCTTGCTTGTGAGGATATTCTTAGTGCAGCAGTCTATTTAACTATGTCCTCTGGCTAGATTTAGACATATTAACATAAGTAAGTAATTTTTTTGACAGAGTGACTGGCTAAATACAATCTGTGTGAGCTTTCTCTAGATAAGAAACTGTTAACTTTGTCAGTACTCAATTTGGTGTTCAGATTGGATGACTGGATTTCGAGTTCCTAGACTTTTTTGTCGGAGTTGAATAATAATGTATGCACATACAAATTAACAGTATCCCCTGACTTGTTTTGAAATCAATGTATAACATGAGTGTGTTAATGTGTTGATCCCAGCTTGTGAAAGGTCAGAGGTCAGACTCAGTCGAGCTCCAGGACATTTTAGGTGATTGAGGGCTTTCTACCATAGAAAAGCAGGTTGTACTGGAAAAAGCACTCTCTGCCCACATGCTTCTTCTTTCTTTCTGCAGTACTCAGGACTGTTTTTAAGTTGTTTCGTATTTTAAAATATGTTCCTGAAGTTGGCAAAGTTCTAGCATTTAGGTCGCTATTAAGGTTAAGGAGAATAAATAGGCTGCGGGACAGAGTAGCATTTCGATCATTCTTACTCCTGTTCTGCGTTTCATAGCAAGTTGTGGCCGGAGAAGAAAAATCCTTTCTTGCCCAAGTTTGATGCCAATCTTCTCTGTGAACATACAGGCCAGATGGCAAAGCATAAAGGGCTTGCTACTAAACATATTAAATGCAACTAAGCCTAGAAAGATTCAGAGCACATGCATATTTACCATGGTAGATATTTGGAATTTCAAACATTTATGCTAAGGTTTTTTCTTTTTCTTTTTTCTTCTATACACAGAGTATGCTAGACATCAATCAATCAATCAATGTTTATTTATAAACAATACGACACCCTCTGTCCTTAGACCCTCACATCGTACAAGGAAAAACTTCCGAAGAAAACCCACAGTTTAAAGGGAAAAATGGGAGAAACCTCAGGGAGAGCAACAGAGGAGGGATCCCTCTCCCAGGGAGGACAGACGTGCAATAGATGCCGTGTGTAAATTGAAAAGATAATACATTTGCAACATATAGGTAGTCCAAATGTTTGGAAATGCATGTGTGTATAATAGGAAGATGAATCCACAAGGATATCCATCCAGGACCTATGATCCAGGACCACAGCCACGACTCACCACGGCTCGCGATCCAGGACACAGGACCACAGGATCATCCATGACTCCGGATCCCGGCGTATATAGACACCAAAAAGAAAGACATTTGGGGAAGCTGGGTTAATCGGAACATGAGAGTACACAGGTGTAGACAGAGAGAAGGAAGAAGTAAGATGTCCCCTGACAAACTAAGCCTATATCAGCAAAACTAGGGGCTGAATCTAATCAGCCCTAACTATAAGCTTTATCAAAAAGGAAGGTCTTAAGCGCACTCTTAAAAACGGATAGGGTGTCTGCCGCCCGAACACAAACTGGAAGCTGATTCCACAAATGTGGACATGACCCATTCTTTAAAAAAAAAAAAATTCAAGGTAGATTTTGCATGCTTTCTACAATCCACATATAAAGAGCCATGGATGACAAGTCCATATAAGATTGAAGAAGAATAAATTACATTTTTCAATTATAATGCCCCTCTCTTGAACAGTTAAAATGCCTGGCATCACAGCGCCTGAACCCCATGCAGAGCTTGTCTAATCAGGAGCAGGATTTATTTCCACACAACAAAGCCACCCCCTCGGGTAAACCAAACCCACTTCCTCCCCTTTTTTTCCTTTTTTCCTGTTTAGCTTTGCAAGTGTACCAAAGAAGTATAACGAGCCATACTCCAAAACAAAGGAAAACATGCATTACAGATGTTGAGTCACACTCTTCTGAGCTGGCGCTTTCGCCATACGCTCACATCCTGATCACAAGATTAGTTTTAAATTGAACTGATGAAACTCTTACTCGTGGGTTAAGCTGGTCCACACTGGCACTCACACACACTCACGACCAGGGAAGTATTACATGATTAACATGAGGCATGTGACAATGAGGAGCACTTAATATAAATTAATCTGAAACTGAGGGGCACCAGTTACTCGCACCATTACATTCTGTATCCTTTTTAATCCAGAGACATATTGCCGTGCCCGTCAGATCACCCGAGGAGTGCTTTGTACTCCCTGCAGAGAGCAGAGCCACAAAATGTGGGCAACACGGTTCACTTGAAATTCCGATCACTAATGTTGAACTTCTAGAAATGACCTTTACCACCGCATCCCATATGAACACAGCAGCTGAGCTCAGAGCATCAGCAGCGCAGCTCTGAGCAAAGAGTGCTCGCTGCATCCTCTGCCTGAATGGAGGAAACTGACGAAAGAGTCGGTCGAGAGGGAGAAACGAGCTGGAGGTTACAGAAAGATCACCAGAAAAAAGCTTGTTTTTTTCTGCAGTGAAGTCAGTCTGCCATCTGCCTGTCCCCCACTGCACTTATTTGAACTTTATAGAAGTTATTATGCTTTCAGTTGGGACGTCACATCTGGAAAGGTGGTGTGACTCAACACAAATGTTACTGCAATCATTTCAACATGTCTTATGCCTCCTGTTTAATGAATACATATCAGTGTGACTGTGAGGTTGAGTAATCAATACGATCAGCTTCCTTTGTTAAGATAATGGTTAGTTGCAAAGGCAAAATGATGAGAGGAAATACCTTCGAGATCAGTGGCGAGCCGTCAGGGCCCTCTAGGCCCTCTCTGAGGGCCTACGATATTCTAAAAAATAATATTTAAAAACATTTAAAAAATATATTATTTTTTTTAAATATATATTTTTTAAATATTATTTGTGTTATATTTTTACCGAAAAAACTTGATTTAATTGTATTTAAAATAAAATGTCCAAAGAAATAAATCCTTCGAATCTGACTGTTCAGTTTCTGTTTGAATGTGAAGGGTTACATGAAAAAAGCTCGTCTGGCCCTCTATGCGATTCACAGAGGGCCCGCTATAGTAAAACAACGAGAGAGTAATGTCAAGTGACATTACATTACATTACATTGGTCAAATTGACCAATCATATCTTCCCTCTAAATGGGAGGGCTTTATTATCGCGGACTTTATGACAAGTTCCGCCCGCTGCGCTGCCAAGTTTATGCATGTGATATATCAACGGGTCAAGCTAGGCGGAATTAGCATACGTTCATTCACGATGGCTCACGTTAGTGATAGTAATGACATCGTTGCGAAACTACTAACCGAGTCTTTTTCAAGAATGAGTTACACGGATAAATTGGAGTTAATTACCAAAGGGCGACCAACACCACAGCTTAATTTGGTTCAAAAAACCAAACGGTTCGAGAGGCATTTTAATATCGGCAATTACGCCAGATACAACTGGATGACCGGATCAACCAGCTGTACTGCTGGGATTGCTTGCTTTTTGGAGCGGACAGTGGGTCATGGGCCAGAGATGGATATTCTGATTTAGGAAGTTTATCCAAATCAGCACATCGCCATCAGAATGCTTCAGGTCACCTCAGAGCTACTATTCGGCTTAAAACATTTGGGGACACCAGGATAGAGCTCCAGCTGGATGAGCAACAACGCCGGGGTGTCATCCTTCATAATGAAAAGGTGAAGAGGAACCGAGGAATTTTGAAACGCCTGATAAATTGTGTGGTGTACTTGGGCAAGCAGGAGTTGCCGTTCCGAGGTCACGATGAGAGTGTAACTTCATCAAACAAGGGGAATTACATAGAGTTGCTGGATTTAGTGGCAGAATATGACAGCGACCTGCACACACACCTCGCCACATCAACAGTATTTACCGGCACATCTTCAAGGATTCAGAATGACCTGATCAGCGCTGTCGCTAGTGTAATGACGGATAGCATGAAAGAGGAGCTGAGGAAGGCACCTTTTGTTGCGGTCATGTTGGATGAAACGACAGACATTAGCAACGTGGCGCAGATGTCATATGTGCTTCGATATGTCACTGACGATGGGATAAAAGAGCGTTTCTTCAAGTACGAAGATGTGACAGAGGACAAACGAGCAGAGGCCATAGCTACACGGCTGCTGGAGTTCCTGAGGGAGAGTGGCTGTATTGACAAAGTGGTCGCGCAGTGCTACGATGGAGCAGCTGTTATGGCCTCTGGATTGAATGGGGTGCAAGCGAAAGTTAAGGAAACAATTCCACAGGCCCTTTTCATTCACTGCTATGCTCACATCTTAAATCTCGTTTTGTCAAATGGAGCTTCCAAGATAAGAGAGTGTAAGGTCTTCTTCTCCCACCTCTCTGGCTTGGCCACCTTTTTCAGCCGCTCAGCAAAGCGCACCAAGCTACTGGATGATATTTGCCAGCATAGGCTTCCACGGGCAGCTCCTACTCGCTGGTGCTTTCATTCTTGCTTGGTGTGCACAGTGGCAGATAAGACCAGGGAATTGAGAGAGGTAAGATAATAATAACAATGAACGTAATGGAAATATTAACAATAATAAAGAAATGATTTAGTGTTGGAAACTACCCACTCATAAAAACATGAAGGTAAAGAACTATGCTAGTATTACATTAAATGGAAAAGCTAATCTTAGTGTTTACTGGAGGTCTATAAGTTGTTTTTTCTAAACTAAGCATTACTCTCGTAGGTGTTCGAGCACATCGTAGACCATCACACAGAGTTTGATGACGAAACTGTTCATTGCTCTGATGGATACATCACCCTCCTTACCAGCTTCGATTTCAGCTTTTGGTTGAAAACCTTCCACGCTATCTTCTCCTACTCGGATGTTGTTTTTGAAATACTTCAGAACAAAGGTTTTGATATGCAGTTCTGCCTGGCCAGAGTGGATCAGCTACAGCGACAAATTGAACAGGAGAAGGGGAACTTTGACAGCGTCTACGATGAAACCCAGGCTTTGGTTGGTCCTCCGCGCGGCCGTGGAGCTCAAGGAGACGTTCGTGCACGGTACAGGGAGCTCCACTGCAGCGTAATTGACAGCCTGCCCAGATTTCCAACCGCTTCAGTGACCACAAAAAGCTGGAATTCCTGGCCCTTCTGGACCCGCAACAGTTCGGGCATTACTGTAACTATTTCCCAACTGCTGCCTTGAACAGTTTGATGGAGAGCTATGGCGGATATTTCGACCAGCCTCGACTGCACACGGAACTCGCCGTGATGTACGGCATGTCTGACATTTTGGGGAAAAGCCCAGCCGACATTCATCAGTTTCTCCTCAAAAAAGGACTGAGTGAAAGCATGAAACAGGTGTACACCCTCTCATGCATCATCCTGACAATACCTGTGTCCACTGCCTCTGTGGAGAGGTCCTTCTCTGCGCTGAAGCGCATAAAAAGCTACTCGAGGTCCACGACTGGGCAAGTCCGACTGTCAGACTTGGCCTTAATTTCGATCGAGAAGGAATTGCTGATTGCTTTAAAAGCAAAGGATCACCTGCATGACGACGCCATCAAGTTCTTCATCCAAAAAGACAGGAGGATGGACTTTGTGTTTAGGTGATTTGATCATCAAAGGTAAGTCAAAGTGATTTTCAATGTGGGCCGCCGTGCCGACTTAATTCATTTGTAATTGTTACTTGGCTGTGGGTGCCCTGTCATGATAGGTGTTTATATAAATGGTGTTGTTTTGTGTGGTAGAGGGTCGCTGTCATTGATGCGTTTTGCACCCCGGGCCGCTGTTTTGATATTCCGCTGAAGTATACTATAGGCTGTGACGTAAAAACGTTTTCTTTTTTTTTTCGAGGGAAGAGGCGGGTGGGGTCAGAGGGCCTAGGTAGAAAAGTCACGGCTCGCCACTGTTCGAGATGCAGTGAATACAGGACAATTATATTTAGAAAGTTCTCTGTAGAAAGTGTTCAAAAGCTCTAAGAATTCAAGGTGCTTATTATTTTCTCATACATACTGCTCCCAAGGTCAAACATGAGCTTGTGTCATATGTTTAACTTGATATTTTAAACAGTATCTTAAAAAGGAGTCATATTTTCACTGCCAAATACATCTTGGTGGTATTACATTACATTACATGTTTCTTATTAGACACTTTTATCCAAAGCGACTCACACACTCAATACTGTGGGCAATCCCCACAGGAGCAATTTGGGGTGAAATGTCTTGCCCAGGGACACAACGACATGCTAACTGCAGTGGGGTTTGAACCTGTGACCCCCTGACCCCAACACCAAGGCTCTATCCACTGCGCCACACGCCTCATGGTATATGACTGTTTTGGCCTTATTTGCCACTTTTCATTTTGGCTGAAATGATCAGATCCTTGAGCAACATAACACTTACAACACCTATTTAAAGTGGACCGATCATGCAAAATGCACTTTTGTACGTCTTTTATACTTGAATATGTGTCCCCGGTGTTCCAGGGAACTCACCAAGTGTCATCAAATACAACCCTCTCTCTTTTCCTCCATACCCAAATCTTTTAAAAATGTGGCTACAACGAGCGGATGCAGATTCCATCCTACCCGACATCAGCCCGGAATACTGGGCGGTGACGCTCCGCCTACATGGGCAACTTTCCACCTATCAGGGGAATGGGGGGTTGCCACGGCCATTGCCGCTCGAAAGCGCTGGAGACGCTGTAGTACATATGCCAGGCCTGTAAGTGGCGCTGTAGTCTGCCACAAAAGCAGCGAAGAAGACTTCCCGCCCATGGTTTCCATGGTTGCCCTTCTGTTTATTCTCCGCCGTGGTTCCTTTTCTCCCTCCCAGAGGCAAGCGTTTGCTCCTGCTGCTGTTATTCAATGCAATCCCTCCCTCGCTGTAATTATTAGGGATGCCAGCGATTATTCGATTATTCGAATATTCGTTACAGTCTCCATAATCGAATATTATTTTTAAAAATCGATTTTATTTATATATTTTTTTATTATTATTTACGTATTTTTTTTTTTTCTGGCTTAGTTTCAACCAAAATATAGACTAATGCTAATAATAGTAATAGTATTAACAATTGTAAATGGCCATTGGTCACACCACCAGTTTGTTTTACTGTAAACTTGGAGGAAGCCTGCGTGCAGAGCAGACTGCTGCTGCAGCACGCTACACACCGCCCCCACCCCCACCCTCCCTCACACGTGCGACTAAAGATGAACAAAGCGGCAGGTAAAAAGAGTTCCTACTCATGGAACTACTTCGAACTTATAAGTACAAGGGAAGTGAAATGCAAATGCAATTTTTTTTTTGTCCCGCGGGGGGGGAGGGGGTCGGTCGGTCGATTAATCGATTATTATTCGCCAGGGCTGCCGAATAATCGATTTTGATCATGGTCAGTTTCTGGCAACCCTAGTAATTATCTCCGGTAGTCCACCAGCAGATGACAAACACCCACCTCTCCGCCTCTTCCAAGGAACGAGGGGACCGTGTGGCAGAGTTTCAGTTCGATTTTTTTTCGCCGGTCAACATGTCCGTTAACGTTTAAATCTTCTGGACAAAATTAGAAAAGTGCCAGTCAAAGGTCTTCTTTGTTATTTATTGAGCTTTAAAACAAATGAATAACAACTATATATAATCATATAAGAATAAACACGGAGGACAAAGCCTCTCTTTTTATCCCCCTCTTCTGACAGCCGAACAGCTGATCTCAAAGCACACTCCCCTCTCCAGCAGGGGGGCGTGGTCAGCTGCAGCTCATTTGCATTCAATCTACGTCACAGAATCAGCCCCTGCAAAAACAGGGCTGGAAAAGAGAACATAGAGCGAAATGAGGTATGGTTAAAATGCAGGATCTGTTTGGTATTTTGAAAAAAAAACTTCACAGACATGTTTTATATAGGTATGGCCCTACAATATATTTGTCAAATATAGCATGATAGGTCCACTTTAAGATATACCGTTCCACTCTGTTAGATTTGGTAGGAAATCTCATATCACAAAACAGAGAGATGACCCTGTTCTTTCACAGCAAACTGAGAAAAAAGAATCTAGAAGTTCTGCCCAATTATATAACAAGTAAAGGTTTTGAAGCCTTCTTTTAAAGTTCCCCTTGGATTTACTAATTTGGCTTTATCCCTTGAAACCAGCTTTCCTGATATTTTGACTTTAAAAAAGTTAGATTTATGATTTGATTTGAAACTTGCGCTGAAGTAGGACACCCATGACAACCGCCAGCACGGATTGTTACAGCCTGTCAAAGTAAACTCATCACCAAACAAACCCCTCCGTGAACCTTAATAACTATCTTGCTACAAAGTCTAAATAGTATTGGCAAACAATACATATTTATAACTTTGAATCTGTAGAGACTAAGTGTGGGTTTCTCATTCACCTGACTATAGTTGGCGCTATCTTGATTGATGATGATTACAAACCACATTGTGCCTCTGAAAAGCCATTTATGCTTAAAAGGGTGTTTTTCGGTTTGTCTCAAATACAGACATCCTTGATGTTGTTTTCAAACACTTTGCCACCGCTCTATAATTAGCAACCGCAGTCCTGTTAGCCAGGCAGACCGCCCTGTTGTGGCACTGCAGATCCTCCTGATATCCTCTTTGCTCTTGCAGCCATGTCATACAGCCAGCGGGGGGATTTCTGGATTTAACAAGTCACTTGCTGTTTGTGTGTCTTTCAGCCCCACCTGACAAGCAGGATGTGGGGTTTTAACACCCTTGGGCTGCCTATCTGGTCACAGGCACTTGTCAGAGAAAAAGCCAAAAGTCAATATCAGTGTTGAGGAAGAAAGGTAAAGAGAGAGAGGGGGTTTAGTAGAGTATGACACAGAAAGGAGGAGCCTCTTACGCTTCCTCTCACTGCTTTCGAGATGGGGTCTTAATACTACCTCACAGCCCGAAGCCCTGTCTCTGCTCCAGAGACACAGCGTGGCAAAGAGAGAGTCTCAGGTAGTCATTACTTTTGAAGTAAAGCAGTAGAAGCCAAGTTGATAAGGATATTTGGTCTTGCTAAACCCCCATAACCTGCCTTGTATTGTTTCTGTATTTGCTGTGTCTTTTCTTGGAGGCTGACTCGTTGTTTTATCTCTCTTACAAGAACATCATGTGAAACATTCCGTTTTTTTAACTGAACAGCCATGACATTCATTCCTCTATCACTGCTACCATATGTTTTTTGTGGCATATTTTAAGTTCTTTAATGATGCCCTTGTTGTTACTCACATTATTTGCTCTGCTTGTTTGCTTCTGGCTTCTGCCTGATGTTAGAGTTGTATTGTGTTTACCAATTGCTATACTTTTCTTCCTTTTTCTCTCAAATGTAGTTATTTATTCTCAACACATTCCCTGCATACTGTTTGAATTAAAGAACTTTAATTAGTTTAGTTTTGCACATTTTATCTTCATTACTACAAATCAGAAATGCTTTACTTCACAGCTAACCATTTAACGAACAAAAGGGTGTTTTGTTTGCCATTCCAGGCAGCCATGGGTTTCCATTATCTTTTGATGTGGTACACAAAGTAGCAATTGGCAGACACTTTCTTAAAGGGTTGTGAAATTAATATTTTCCTTATTTGTCAGAAAATCCCATGAAAAGACCAAAACCACTAATTAATTGATCTAATAACAAATATTGTTTGCATATCCAAGCACCTGTATAGCTTACTCCTCTCTGCCTTAGACCACCATTGTTGTCCAAAGATTATTAAAACGCCAATGAGCCGCACCGTAACACTGAGTGACTTTATCCCTCATTACTATAATCATGGTAATGTACATGGTAATGAAGGATAGTGTCACTCATGATTATGTTAACTATATTTCATTTGGATTCAATTCCAAATACACCATCCAGCTGCAAAAATACTCACTAGAGCACAAAATCACAGGCTGAAAATGTCCCCGAACAAATTGACTGTCTGGCTGCTTCAGGAATAGATTTAGTTTATAAATGTATGACAATTGTGACAGAGGACCGATAAGAGACAAACAAACTAACCGTTGTTTTTGGTCGTGTAATGGTATTTATTGCATATTGCCTGTCTATGTTTTTACAATCAATCTCTTTGGACACATTTTAAGTGCCTGCTAATTGATTTTCATATCAGCAATGAGCAAAAACCCATGGTTGCCTGAACAATGTTAAAAAGGAAAGACATCAATAAAATGTAGGATGTAAAACCATGGCTCAA